ACTCTTCAACTCCTTCACACTTCAGTAGTCATTCTGATAGGTCTGTCGATAGTCATCTTTTAATCTGTTTTTCCAATCAATTGGATAATGTTTGGAGTCTTTGGAATTCTCTATCAGGACATCCTCATTCTGCTCGTCTTGATAAAATGTTTAAACAATCCTTACTTGTCAAAAATAATATTGGTGTGTCTGGAAAACATTTATGTACTAGTTGTGTTGAAGCTAAAACTTCTAGTATATCTTTTCCTACTAGTACTACTGTTATTTCAGAACCATTCCATATTATTCATACTGATTTGTAGGGTCCATTTCCTACGGTATCTTGTCTTGGTTTTCGATACTTTTCCTTGTTTATTGATCATGCCACTCGGTTTACCTGGGTCTACTTTCTTCGTTTAAAATCTGAGTTGAAATCTGTAGCTACAGAATTTTAAAAATGATTCAAACTCAGTTTGGACGAACTGTTAAAATCATTCGGTCTGATCCTGGTGGAGAATTCAATTATCTTCCATTACATTAGGTGTTTAGGTCCCTTGGCATTTTTAGTCAACAGGCGTGTCCTGCTGTGTCTCAGCAAAATGATCTAGTTGAGCATAAAAATCAACATGTAGTCGAACTTACTCGTGCTCTTCGTCTTGCTTCTCGCGTCCATTCTTGTTTTTGGGCCGAGGCGATTGATACAATAGTTGGACTTATCAATTATCAAGTCAGTCCTGCTCTACGTCATACTAGACCATATTTTGCTCTCAATGCTTGTCACCCAGATTACTTTCGTATTCGTGTTTTTGGTTGTCTATGTTTTGTTCTTCGTCCCAAACGTGAACGCCATAAACTGTCTTCCAAAACTGCTCGGTGTGTTTTCCTAGGATATAACAATGTTCATAAAGGCTATCTTTGTTATGATCATGAGTTACAACGCATGTGTATTGCTTGAATTATTGTCTTTTTTGAACATCTTATGTTTTATGAAAAACAACCATCTTCTTCCCCACCAGTCTTTCCTAACTTCCATGAGCTCCTACCTATTTTTACTCAGAATGACGAAGATGGTGACCCTCAATTTCCAACTACTTTACCTATTCCCTCCGGTCTTTCCTCCTCAACCTCGGTGTTGGATACGACTGCGACGTCGCCTTCTTCATCCAGTTCTACTTCTGCGACGTTATCACCTACAGCTAGCTCGACTTCTTCTTCCAGCTCCACTACTACGTCATCCTCAACTAGCTCTCATGATAGTCTGCCACCTCCTCCTCGTCGGTCAGACCGTGTAACAAAAGGTATTCCTCAACCTAGATTCCATGACTATATTGCTCATAACGTGGATTCGTTGGTGGGTCCTACTTGTTACCAGCAAGCTAAAGGCCACCCGGTATGGGAACGAGCTATGAAGTGTGAACTGGATGCTCTTCATGCTAATAATACCTGGACTCTTGTGCCTTGCCCAACTCAGCCTGCATCAGTTGTTGGGTGTAAATGGGTCTACATTGTTAAGATGATGCTGATAGTACCGTTGACCATTACAAGGTATGTTTGGTGGCCCAAGGTTTCACCCAGGAGCTTGGCGTAGACTACAGTGAGACATTTGCTCCCGTGGCCAAATGTCTACAGTGCGTACTCTTTTGGCGGTTGCAGCAAATCAAAATTGGCCGTTGTATCAAATGGACTTCAAGAATGCTTTTCTCCACGGTGATTTTGATGAGGTCATCTATATGGAGCTTCCACCTAGGTATACAGAGGATTCGTCGGATCAAGTTTGTCGTCTTAATCGGTCTCTTTATGGTCCCAAACAAGCGCCTAGGGCCTAATTTGAGAAATTTCACTCTACAATATCTGGTATGGGGTTCAAGCAAAGTCTCAACGATCCTTCTCTCTTCACCAAACAAACATCGGCGGTGATAGTGGTGTTACTTATGTACGTCGATGATATGATCATTTCTGGCACCGACATTGAGGGTATTCTTCGACTGAAAATCGGTCTACATGCTTCTTTCAGTTTTAAGGACTTGGGTACCCTGTCTTACTTCCTTGGATTAGAGGTGACTCGCACAACGCAAGGCATTTTACTTAATGAACACATATATCTCTAATCTTCGTAGTGCACATGGCATATGGGTATCCTTTTTCCGTCCTCTGGCTCTCTCTCCCTGTGTGCCTACTCTAATTCTAACTATGTCGGTTGCATTGACACTCATCGTCCGACTTCGGGATGGTGTGTTCGTTTTGGCGATTCGTTCATTTGTTGGCACTTTAAGAAGCATGATAGGGTCTCTAAATCTTCCACCGAGGTAGAGTACCCGTCTATGTTTGAGGTTGCCTCCAAGCTTGTTTGGCTTCGTCGTCTGCTCCATGATCTCACGAAGCATATTGAGATTCATGTGCATTATGTTCGCGACTTGGTTCGGGATGGTACCCTCACCGTTCACCACATTTGTACTGACGAACAGGTGGCCGGAATTCTAACGAAATCATTTTCTGCTTCCCGTCATTGGTATCTATCAAGCAAATTAATGCTTACGGACCCGCATCAATTTGGGGTAGGCTGTTAGATGGTCTAGGTTTGGCCCATTCCATTGTATATGTTATTTGCTTTGATTTCTGGCCCATGAAACCCAAGGATAGCAACTCTCTAACGTAGGAAGATAAGGTGCTTAAGATTCCTTGTAACATAGAAAGATAATGGGCTTTCGGTTCGATATCATCTCTTTGTTTCCTTGAGTTCTACAACCAGCAATATATAGCTGGAATAGCCTACTGTAAAGGAGAACATATAATGAATAAGATCAGTAGCAAAAAAGTCTTTATACTCTTCCGTGGATTAGTCCTGTACACTCTAGGGATACCATGAATATTGGTTTGTCTCTTGTTATTTGTTTGATTGTTTTTGTACACATCATCAGCCAAGAATAATTTCTCCTCCGATCCACAAGTGTCCTTCAGGTATCACCTTCTCCATTTAGTATACTCGGTAAGATAGAGGAACGAGAGGTAGCGAGGCTGCAAGAGGCCCCTAAGAAAGTAACGAAGAAGGGAGGGTCCAAGCCCAGGGGGTGCAATTTTTCTAAAAATAAATGTATTTTATATGAAAAATTATTAATTATTTGCAATGATCAACGTCTTTATACTCGAATAAAACTTTTGAAATATTTATTATTCATATAAACTACCAAATAATTATTGTCAATATATCCTACCAAGTGCTAGTAATCATTCAAATTTGTGTAGTTAAAGTCAGTCAAGTGATCATGAATAGTCGAGGATATACGGTTGGAATGGGATGGTAGAGCCGAGCGACTTTGTAACCTTGTTTGAGGATAATTGGATACTAACCCCAATAAATTGACATAGTGGTATTATATAAGAGAATGAGAGTAGTTACACATTGGAGCTAAAAATTGAAGATTTAAAGATTGAGTTATTGCATGTGGTTTTGATTTGTTTTTGTTTTTGTGCAAACTATGTTTTAATCTATGATTAAAGATAACTTCAATGTATGATATTAATTGTATTTGCTATTATAAATACTAGTAATAAGAATAGGTTTGTTATTGTAAATAAACTAATATACCATAATCTTGTTATTGTTTCAATCGAAGGATGTGCACTGGAACACCTTATCAAGGCACTGCCCCCGCGCTAAGTTTTAGAAACAAAAGTGCATGAATCTCATTCGGTAGAAGTAGTTGAAGATTGTTTTGATGGGTGTGAGATGTACTTATGTTATGAGACATTTGATTTGTGGAGAGTCGGGCCTTTATGTTTTTACGAGATTAAGCTTAGAGTCCTAAAACCTAGTAAAAACTTTGTTCATTCTATAGAACATAATCTTGGAGTTTTAGAAATAAAAGTGCATGAATCTCATTCATTAGAAGTAGTTGAAAATTGGTTTGATGGGTGTAGAACATAATCTTGGAGTTTTAGAAATAAAAGTGCATGAATCTCATTCATTAGAAGTAGTTGAAAATTGGTTTGATGGGTGTGGGTTAGTGTGTTCATATAAGGAAATTCAGAAAGTGGGGTATAAGATCCAACATAATCTCTTCCAACCGATTTCAAATTGGTTAGCTTGAACCCGAAAGTCAGAAATTCAGAAAGTGGGGTATAAGATCCAACATAATCTCTTCCAACCGATTTCAGATTGGTTAGCTTGAACCCGAAAGTCAGACCGCAATTGACTATACTGGAGTCACAATTAAATACAACATCTTCGTTCTTAATTTTCTCCGATGTGGGATTAAGATTTGAGTCTCATTGAAACATAGTTGAAGCTTCTGAAAGTGGACGCTAAAATGAACTTGTTCTTACATCCACTAGCTAAGCTAACTTTGAAGCTTAGGTTGCTTTCCAAATGAAGAATGCGATGATTGTAATGGAACTAACGATTCTGGATCTAAAGATGATCTTTTGCTACATCAATATCGTATCCACTTGATTTTTTTTTATTGTAACCTGCGAGTATCCACTTGATTAATATGACTAATTTGGAAATGACAGCGAGTCTTCTATATATATAAAAAAAAACACCGGTTGCTCATAACACATTAAACACATAAACTCGGAACTCTCATCAGATCTGATTTCATTTATTTTCTTATGTTTGCATAAACAAAACATGAAAAAGAAGGAAGAAATAAGATGGGGTGAGTCATAAATCCTCTAATTTTAGAGTCAACTAGTGGCTAATAGCTATCAAAGATCCAACATATCTTAAGTTGATAAGGAGCATACGAGCACCTTTGGCTAAATGATGCTGATTTAAGAGTAGTGGTTTGCATAAAGAAGAGGACTTGGTGTGTTCTGCCTAAGTGGAAATATATAAAAGGTTGTTTGGTGGGAATAAACTGGTGCATGTTTGATTTGGCCATTCATAGTTAAACTTCCTTATAGGATCGAATGTTTATGGTGGGATCACAATGATCTGATCAATAGTTAAGATTGGGTGTATGATCTTCTATATGGCAGCTATCACAAATAGGGTGGCAAGATAATTGGCCGCCAAGAACCTCAAAATCCATAATTTGTTTTGTTTTCTCAAGTAGTTTGACCACTAAGCATATTGTGGCAAACACTAGAAAATCAAATGCCCAATTCAAAGATAAAAATGCCATAAGCAGCTCTATCTATATGAAATTCTATTTTCAAAGCTCTATTCACTAGCAGTGAAACCCATGTAAATTGGAGGCCTTACTTTGGCCAGAGCAACAATTGCAGCATCAAACCCATTTCCACATATAAAACCAGAAGCAACTACAGGAATCATCAACCTATCATTCAACTTGAGAGAATCAGCTCTCAACACCTAAAACATACATCTAGCTAACCTATTTTCCCATCTAATTCCAAACAACAACCCGACTTACTGATTGCAACAACAAACAGAGGAAGCATCAACAAACAGAGGATCTTACTGGGATGCCATAAGTTATGTCCAAGTGGAGCTGCTTGATTTTGATCTCGATGTTGCGGCTTGCCTCTTCACTTCGTCGTTCATGGGTATCGATCGGTAGAATAGAGACCACCCACTTCTCTTGAATAGACGAAGTAAGCATGGAATTGAAGAAGCCAGAAGAAGAATCAAAATTTGGGTATCTGGGTTCGTTGAAGGAAGACTGGAGTCGTTCTTGCAATGGAGGCTGGAGAGTAACGACGAAGACGGCGGCGACGGTGGAAGTGCCGACGACAGTGCGAGTGTTTTCAGAGAGCTGATTCGGCAAGATCCAGGAGGTAGGAGTCCATGAGGAAACGATGAGGGTCGACTGTCGAGGCATGAGCGAATAGGGATTTCAATTCGGCTGGGCACAACACAACAGACTTCCGAAGAAGGAGACGCCGAGACAGTGTATTGATTTCGGGATCTTATTGCGTTTCGGGTAAACCAAACCGAATCCGTTATCCCACACGTTTGGATTGAAACCAAAAAAACCAAATCCGAAAACAATAATAGGGTTAGTTATGGGTTAACCCGCGAAACCGAACCCGTTTAGCCAGCCCTAGTCTTTGTATTCTTTTATGCATGTTTGGTATGCTTTTTTGCATTTTTCAAGGTAAAATGCAATCTAGGAGGATTGGTATCAACCATTAGACAAATTTGGAGGACCAAAGGAGCAAAATAGAGAAGAATAAAGTGCTTTCACGTAAAAGATGAGTTCCAATGATGGAGAAGGCTACTCGAAACTACTACTAGAGCCCACAAGGAGTCCAATGGCGAAAGACTCGGCCCGTACGGGTCCAATTGCCTCTTGACATACCTGGAAAAATCTTGAAGAAATCACCTGGAGAGGTCTTGGGGTCCAAGAAACTCAGCCCACAAAGAAAATAAGCCACATGACCTCCACTCAAGCACAAGCCCACTAAATGACCTTACTTTGGCCTTAAGTTAGAGAACTGTGTCCTAGTAGGGTTAGGAAGGTTTTAGACGAGTTTTACCTCTATAAATAGGGAGCTAGGCTCATTAGTTTAGCACGTTGCAGAAATTGACTGAATCTATAGACACTTTGTTCTAGTGGGAGGCCTTCTTAGGAGAGGTGCAGTCCAGGAGATGTTGTCATTATTGATGGTGGTACCCTCCTTCTCTTCTATGTATAGCTAGTTCGAATTGATTGTTTTGGAATTTAAAGATATTAATGGTACCTGATGCTCTAAAACACAACACCTAACAATGGCCAAGTGTAACCAATGAAAGGGACTGCAGTATAGTGGCACAAGTAATAAATATCGAATCCACGGGTCTCTAGAGTTACTATTACTCAGCTTCAGTTCATTATCTAGCAAACTAGATTAAGGATTGATTAACTAAACTACTCTACTAACTAAACTAAGTAAAACTACTAATTACAGTTTGGGAACTCACTTAGGTATGATTCCCCCTAGCTCCTCAATTAGGTCCAAGTTGTAATTCTTTTGGTTGTTTTACTGTTGATTAAACTGCGGAAGATCCGACAGTAGCTTGGAATCTCTTAAGCTGACCAAGCCCTCTCAGTCTAACTATCCGGCAGACGACTAGTCTTCACCGGGATAGAAAGCTGAAGCAATAAGCACAAAACTCCACTACTGGAATTGGATTCCAGTACAAAGCAGTAAACTGGCTAACTCTCGTATAGCCAATCTCCTACTACCGAATGATGAGACTCTAGCAACCTAATCAGATTCTATCTATCTCAGATTGCAGTAGGAATCAGGAAAAGTTGATCAGACTTCAATTGACTCAATAAACATGCATCATTCGATTATAATCAAACAATATAGCATCCAAAACTTCATACAAGAAAGATCCTAACTCATGGAACTAGGGTTCCTCAAAACCTAAGTGAAGGGAAGTTACTCCATAGAGAAGAGAGAGACTGCAGAAATCTGATCTAGATCTTCAATCTCCATCTCCAAGCTTGATTCCCGAGCTCCAATGGCGAAGAAATCCTCCAAAATAGCTCCAAGAATGTTCCCAAGTCGCTCTCTCTCTCTAGGGTTCGTCCCTTGGGTGTTTGGGAACCAAAACCCAGCTCTCTCTTTCCTTTGGCTCTAATCTGCCTCAAAAACCCGATTCTGGGCGAATTACGGGCTGAATTACGGTCGTAATTCTTCCATGCCCGTATTTTGCCCAAAACACGCGTTTTGGTTAAGTTTCAGCGCATCCAAAGCTCCTCTCGGCAGTGAAAATACGGGCATGGGAGGGGAAATTACGGTCGTAATTCTCCTGCCCGTAATTCTTCCTCCGCCCCTGTTCAAAGCTTCGTTTCTCCTCGTCTGGACTCCGAATCAGTCGCCGTTTGAACCCAGACGCTCGTAGTATCGTCCTCTTTCTTTTCATATAAAACTTCCATGATTCTTTGTCCATAAAGTGAGGTATAAATCCATTCTTCTTCAGGTCATGCTCGTGTTTCTTCTCCCTAATTGCCAATTGATCTCTGATTGACTTGAAACTTGCGCCTATGCTTCACTTTATTTGCTAGGACCTGAAATGTGACAAAGGAACACAACCTAGCGTAAAATAGGCCAAAGACGCGATAATTAATGCTCAAACGATCAAGAAACAAAGGGGAAAACATGTGCAAATATCGAGTCATCAAATCTCCCCACACTTAACCGTTTGCTTGTCCCCAAGCAAACCTGACTCAAACCAATGCAACTCTCCAGACCTCTATATCAACATACAACCTCGATCGTCGGTAGAGAATTTTCAAGATCATATAGCAGCTTACGAGGTCAACTGGTCTTCTAAGACGTTCCCTATCTCTCTCAATGCGAGTACTAGACTCAAGCCAGGATCATGAGAAGAAGTAGAAGTAAGACAGTCAGTTCATGGATAAAGGGACTCACACCATTCACTACCAAGGACTCGTTGTACCGGGGTGCTCTTTCACTTCATTTCACCGTTGGAACCCCTTTTTCACTTTCATTTTACTTTTTTTTTCATTTTCATTCACTTGGCGGGGGTTCCAACTGCAGTCTTTTGCACGGTCGACCCTTATTAGTCAAGCAAGAGCAATTTTTGTACATCTAGCGCTCGCCAGAGTACTTCTTTTAACTCCTTTTCCTCAACTCGTGTGGAGGGTCAATGAAATCAAGGGGGGTCGGAAGCTCTATCCGTGCCCTTAAAAACACATCCTCAAGTAGGCAAACCGTTCAACGGGTGAAAATTTTACTTGTACTAGAGACAGCTTAGCTTCACCTTGTAGGAGTACCCCACTAAGGATCACTAAAATCTCTTCCAAAACCCGATTTTGTGCAATGAACGGTGCCGCACACGTTGGGCTTACCCCATGTTTAAGATTTTATGATTTTGACATGGAGGACCAACTGCTTTTCATTTTTCACATGAGCACCCTGTTCGATACACGAGTCCATAACACAATCCAAACATAGTCACCATTACCACATGAATTCAACGGTCTTAGCTCCACTAATTCACAAAATCAACTGGCACAGCAGAGAGCTAGATAGGAAAAATCGTATACTTCAACATCCTCCATAGTGCTACACTACCTCCCTAGGTTGCACATTACTATAGAGACTGTCAATTCAAAGCATACTGAGCAGGCAATTTGCAAGGAAACACGTACTTGGAGCCCTCAAATTTAAAAATTTGGACAGTGGACTAGGCTCCAAGCACACAAACAGCCAAACATTCACCCGCATACATAATCGAACATCCCCCCACACTTAAGCACGACATTGTCCTCAATGGAGGAAAGATAAGGAGGGTGGAACGAAGTTACCAAATCAAGGGTGAATGATGATGAACAGGTCAGGCGGTGCATTCCAGAAAGAGAGAGTAATCAGAACACAAACACCACACAAAATCTCACAAAGGTTGAGTTATTGACTCTAAAATCAAATAACAAAACTGACTCAACCGAGGAGAAAAAGAGAAAGAAATGCAAACCGACTGGTTGGGTTGCCTCCCAACAAGCGCTTCTTTCACGCCGGACGATGGCTCCTAAGTTTCGGTCCATGCTAGAACCTCCTTGAAGTTGAGGTTCTCGTCGATGAGGTGGAGTCTCAAGTCACGAGCATGTGGTGTGGCAGGTGATGAAGGCTCATGTACTTGATGCAGATGAAGTCTCCACCCTCGAGACCTCTTCTTCTCTTCTCTCGTCTCATTGCCCCAAACCAGATATGACAACATCGATTGGCCACCATTGCGTCCACCAAGAGGGACCGATGTTGATGTGGCCTTGGTCTGGCAAAGAGACACTGCAAATGGGTCCTTGCTAAGCAGTTCCTCAAAGTTTGGTGGAGATATCAAATGTAACATAGGGCCGGTGCAAGCCTCTTCCACCTCAACTTCATCCTCAGCCTGGACGCCAATTGCTTCCTCAACCCCCCCTTCCTTCTTCAAAATGTGGTCTCTCCCCTGGGAAAAGATCAAGAACCACCTCTTCTTTTCTTTCTTCCTCATCGTCCACAACTTCCATCCTCATCCTTGCTCGCTCTTCTTCTTCTAGAACAGATTGGAGAGCAAGTCGCCAAACAATTTCTTCAATGGGATCATCTTGCATCTCCTCGCATGGGCCCAGCATGTTAGAGCATAAATGTGGAAAGATGTGATCTGCAACCAAAGGAATTTCCTGATCATGATCATCATGGGAGTTCTCTGTGATAACTTCTGCATGCTCCTCAACGCTCCCGTAGCCTTTGTCATCCTCCACCTCTTCTAGCGTGGTAGCAGAAAGGTGATCTTGAGCAAGATGTGAGCAAACTTGTTCCACCCACTCTGTTTGCTTCGCTGAGCGCTAAACAGTCTCCTCCATATCATGGAGAAATGAGGGATCGGAAGAGGCAAGGGCTTGAATTTTAAGATCCATCTTGGAGCAGGATCTCTCAGTGTCTCGAGCAAACTGCTCCACGAGAAGCCTTAATTGTTTGTTCGGATCTTCCAGTGAAGTGTAGCATGGCTCTGCAGAGTGGCCCGTGAAGGCCGCCATGGGTAACTCCAGCTCCGATGGCCCTTCTGTTTGTGGGAGAAAGTCTTCTTGGTAATGAGGTTGTTCTTGATATGCCCAGGGGTCTGATTGTTCTCCGTAGTAAGGGGGTTGGTACTGGAACCCGAATCCATAGTCTTCTCCTCTTTGATTGCTCCAGGGGGTCTTGGGGTAATACCACTCGGATGGTGGTGGATATCCCCAATGATTGGAGAAGCCATGAGGATCCATGATTCAGATCTGCACCAACAAAAACAAAAACACCCAAGTGAAAAGCAAGGATGGAAAAGAAAAGAAAAGAAAAACGCTAAAGTAACAAACTTCTGCCTTTCCTAATACTCTAGAAAGTCCCCGGCAACGGCGCCAAAAACTAGATGCTCTAAAACACAACACCTAACAATGGCCAAG